TCGCTAGCTTCAATAGTTTACGAGTAATTTGCGAAAAACTGTTTTTTAGTTTTTTGTCAATAACTCGTAAACTATTAATGCTAGCGAATAACTTTTATATGGAAATTGTAGATCTCGTCGTCCTCTACAAGAAAGGTTCTATGCAATTTTCTTGTAGGTCCATCGGTTTAGGAGTTATTGGCGAAAAACGAAATTTTTTGCCAAAAGTTCGCTGTTTCGAGGGTGGGATAGTCGGATTTTATCAGTACCCATAAAATGCCATTTAATCGTACTTAACTCGTTAAATATTGAAGTTAGAAGAAAAATTCATAGAATCTTTCTTGTAGAGGACGTCAGACTACAATTTTCATATAAAATTTTTTTCGCTAGTCAGCTACATGTTATTGACTGTTTTGAGCCCCATTGGGCCCCGTTCGCTGTCCCAACGATTACATGGGCGCTGCCATTCTTTAATAGTATCTTCTCACTGACCGTACCAACCCTTTACGTAGGATTGACAGTTTTGAAAAAAATGAGTGACGTAACTCCGCGATCATCCAGTTTCAGAAAATGTCGAAGCGATTGCTATTCATGTAACCGAGAGATGTACAACATCGATGCGTCGGTGTTCGTGGAAAACTTTCCTCATGCATACATCGAGTGCAAGTGTCGTACAATATTCATGGAATCTCTTCCAGAAAGTTAAGAGTCAACGGCTATAGACTCGAGGCGTGTAAAGGTATCCTTGAGCATAGAAATTCGCTCGTCGCTACTTGAACAATTTTCCAATTTTCATTTACAATTAAAGTTTGATCGTTGCCGAACGATATAGTACACGTGGAGAAATATATTATGGAACGCTTGCTGGTAAATTAAGAGGAAAGTAATTCAATGAAATAAGGAGTAGTTACGAAATGTTGAGAGGTGAAATAGTTTCTCTTTGAATTTCATTGGAGGGATCAATAGTTTCATTGAACAGTAGGTACTCGTATAGACATCTATTAGAATTCGAGAGAAACACGCGTTACCGACGATCGTAAAGTAACACGGTAAATCTATTAATTAGAAGCATTAATAAATTTAATTTACTCAATAAATAAATCTAATATTATTAAATCAATTTCAATACATTGAATGATAAAATTTAATTGAAAAATTAATTCGGAACTTTTAAACTTGTTCCGACCATCACGTGACATTTGTAACCAATCAGTGTCGTCCTCCGTTTGAACGTACGGACTATAGCTGGCAGACATCGTATCACGTTGTGTATTGTTGAGTTCTCGTGCAACTTTCTTTCATTTTAAAATGTTTTCTAAATAGTGCAAGTGTCAGAATGTGTCTCGGAGGTCTGCCCATTGTGCCAGGAAGCAATGGATACATCAGTCCAGTTGAATTATCGACAATAAGGTTAGATTTTGAGTAATTCTTTGTGCTACTATGTTCGCGCGTTCATACTTGTGGCTCAAGTTTAGACTCCCAAAATCTTTATTATTTTCACATATAATGACTCTCAGAGTCTTGTAATACGTCGCTTTTATAATAAGTATAACATAAATGTAAAGATCAAAGTAATCTGATTCTAACTATAAAGTTTGATGATAATGTTCCCATTAGAATTTGGTTGGAAAAGTGCAGCCATGTTTCTTTTAAGTGTTAAGTGCACGTGTGCAGATCTGATTTTAAGAATTCAAACAAAGATAATGAAAACTACAGTAAGTCTTCTAATTATTATTATGGATTATGATTATACATAAAATGATAGAAAGAGTAGCCAATGAATAGAAATTGGATTATTTACTGTGTATGCATATTGTTCTCACTCACTTTTAAACCTGGTGTATGGGCAAAGTAAGCTTCTGGGCTTTGTGAATGGTAAAGCCCACCGTGTCCAACGGCACCACAGGGTGCTCGAAGTGTTAGTTTACCGCAATTGTATTCTCCTCCGCTTCGATATCTGACTTTAGCCGCTTCGTTCACCAGCTACAGATAAGAAAGCATGAAATCTCAGAATACTCGTTTTTTATAAAACAAAATATTTATTCTACGATACGAATTCTAATTTTATTCTTATTTTAATCTAGGAGACTGTGAATAAATTACTCGCTAGTTTTCTGTGCAGATCATTGAGTAATGATAATACCTGATCGAAAGCAGGAAATATGTAATCTGCGAATTGTATCTCTGCTATAGCTGTTACACCAGCTGTAGCTAAACCGATTCCAAAGCCTGCGATTCCCTGCTCGCAAAGTGGCGTGTTAAATACTCGATCTTGGCCGAATTCTTTCTGTAAACCCAGCGTGCAACGAAACACTCCTCCAAATGCGACATCCTCACCGAATATTACTAAGCATGGAAGGAAATTGTTATTAAACCTGTTCGAAAATATCTGACAAACATTCACTAAATTTATATCAAGTAATTAATGAAATTACCTGCATCAGAGTCTCTTGTCATTGCAATTCGAAGTCCATTGTTAATTGCTTGGAACATGTTCATCTTTTCAGTCTCACCTTGAAAATATTCATTCACTTATTTGTAGTCTTGTTGGTATTAAAGAAAGAATTGTATGCACTTACCGGGAACATTGTTGTTCTTATCGGCATAGTACGTAAATTGTATACACCTGACATGACTGCGTAACACAGATTTGTCCGCGGGATTTAAAATCGCGGAAACACGAGCGTTCAGCAATCGCGTAGACAATTTACTGACTCTCATCGCGGAGAACTGTTCGGGACAGCGTGTAACGGCGACGATAATGAGCAAGCTTTAATCTTTTTTATCGCAATTTACATACATTATCGTATTTAAAACTTCAACGAGCCCCCATGTTCGATCCAAAGTCGATTTCGTAAGCAGCCTCGCTTCCGAATTGTGTCGGTGGAAGTATTTAGTATGCGAGCGTAAACGCCTTAGTTCGGTTTAGTTCTCCCTACTATGATTCATTCCCCTATGTTATCGAATTACATTTTTACTGATCTACGTGCATCGTAGGGAGTCTAGCCTTGTACAGAAGGAAATATGGCAATTATAATTCATAGACTGTGTTTCATTCTTTATATATATATTGAACATTTTTCAACGAGTTAATATTTTAGGGAGAAGGGAATATATTGGGAATTAAAAATTGGAATAGGTTGATATTCTTTATCTTTATTTTTGTTCTGGCAGAGGAATGATAGGATTAGAGGAACGTTGTAAGTCGTTATCTTGTTTGCGGCAAACGTTGTTTTGATGATGCTCTGATTTGTCGTAATAATCTTGCGTAATTCCGTCGACGCGTTGCATCTTTAATTACGATAGGAAATTTCGTAGAAAGTTTTTAATTCTTGCATAAGTCATTGAAATTTATTAATGTAAAATAGAGAATTGTGAATTATCTGCGGGGCATATCGTCTGTAGGTACGACGATTCTCGCTACGTGATTGTCGTGTTCTCTGCTAGATATCAGGCTAGCACTCAAAACAGAGTTGCTATGACAACCAAGTAGCGTCCCTCGCATACGTGAAACAAACTGATTAGAGATAGCAGGGTTATATTAGTGTTGATTGATAAATTGTTGTGAAAAATGGGCCGCACCGATTGGGACCGCATTTTTTCGGCGGACCCCTCGTCGTTGACTGACGACGATATGGAGGCTCTTTATCCAGCCATAATTAGTTGCGACGTTGACGAAATCAGTGACACCCATAACCTGCGTACACTGATGAAACTCTCCCAAGAAATACTTCAATACAAAGACAATCAAGTAAAAAATAACCATTTCATATTTCTGCTTTTAATCATTTCTCACAAAACATCTCTACTGTCACGTTTATCAAACTTTTACTCAATAAAAGACAAGTGGACTCTCTCCTATTTTTTCCTTCTTCTGATCAGCCTAATTAATATGATAGTTGTTGATCTCTTCTCTTAACAGGTAGAGTCGTTATTGTTAGAATGCGGTGAATTAAAACAGACCATTTCTTCTTTGAAACCTGAACCTGCTAAACGCAGAAAGAAAGGTAAATCGTGTGTGCGTTACTTGAAAGAGAAAACACATTCTATAGTATTCTCATAATGTTACATAGTTAATACAGAAACTATTTTAACTTGCATGCTAGAAGGGGATGATTCAAGACGCGAAAGTACTGATTTGTCCAAAGTAAGATTTCAATTAATAATAATTTAGCAAAGATATTTTCACATCACCTCAGAAATGTGATCTCCTTTTTTAAGCATGTAGAAATGTCAGAGAGCACAGAGTATGACGATGCTCTGCAGGGGAAGAATAAAAAAATAAAGATCCTTGTGACAGAATTAGAGGTGGGTTTCAAAATTTAGACAGACCGGAGCACTTTTACAATTTTTAATTCACGTTATTTCGACTCTTTAGAGCCTCGAGAATGACAATTTAATTTTAAAAGAACGATTAACGACGTTGACTCGAGAAATGGAAGACGCGACGGTAAAAATGAACGAAATGGCAGAGGAACTCAGTTCCGCTCGAGTTAAGTCCGTGGAATATAAAGGTTGTTACACTGAAAATTAATTCCGATTGAATTGTGACCGCGAATAATTTGTCATGCCGGTGGGTCGTGTTTTTCCAGAAAGTATATCCGAATTGGAACGCGAGAATTCCGCGCTAGTCGCGCAAGTCGAGGAAATCACGGCTCAGCAAATAGACAGAGACAGAGCGATAGACGAATTCGGTTCTGCAATCGACTCTAGAATTAATGAGTGGAAGGTATCTATAGTTAGCTAGCCATCGAGCTCTCTTTAACCAGTTTTGAATTCGTTAGGCGATATTGGATGAAAAAGATAACGAAATATTAAGACTGAAGGAAAATTTATCTCAATCCGTGCTGCATTCGGTTACTTCAGTTAAGGAACAAAGTAAATCCGAGATCATTCGCTTGAACGAAGAAATAGATTGTCGCGACAAAATTATAAACGAACTGAAGACGAAATTGTCCGAAGCTACCGTCGAGATCAACGAGAGCGCTAGCCTAATCGAGAAATTAAAAGCTGACGCAAAGAAGTATGTAACATGATCGTTAAATAGAAAGATTCGCGATGTAAATTAGTTTCATTGATGTTTCCTTCAGGGTGGGAAAGGTCGATAAGAAAAAAGAGCACAAGGACTTGTTGAAAAAGTTGCAGGACGCGAGCGAACAGATATCTAAATTGCAAACTCAGTTGAACGACGCTGAGGAAGACGCTCAAGCAAGGAGTAGTAAAGTCAGTTCGTTAAATGTGTTTTCTTTAACAATCGCGCTACAGTTTGTTGAATCGTTCCACTTTATTTAGTTATGCGAGGTGCTAGCGACTTTAAAGAAGTACGAGGACGAGAACGAAAGCCTGGCCGAGGCGTTGCACGAAATAAAACAGCTGAAAGACGATTTGAAAAGTAAAACCGAACACATCAGGGAACTGATCGACGTCGTGAACAAATTAGAGATGTTAAACTCGTATCAGGAAATGGAAATTATAACTCTTAGGTGAATAAGCATTCTCTTGGTGTCCGGCTGTTCGAGGAATTATTTCAAACGTGTGTAACGTCGCATAGGGAAAAATTAGGCATTCCGGAGGACGAGTCAGTGTCGATCGAGCGCGCGTTAGCTAAACGGAAAGAGCAGGAGAAGAAGCTGCAGGAGTTATTGCAACAAAACAAAGTGCTCGTCGAGGAGAATATTGAATTAAAATCGGACGTAAGATCGAAACGTTTCAGTTAGCTGTGTTCATGCAAAAATTCTCGTTCGACCACTTTCGTTTTCTAGATGAGGGTTTTGAAATATAAATTGAGTAAAACGTCCAAAGAACTTGATATCTCGGACAGCAGCATAGACGGTGCTAGCGATTTCTTCCATTCGACCAAATTAACGGAATCCGTGTTCAAATGGCATTCGAAAGTAAATATTTCGGAGGTACAGGAAAATATGCAGCTGATCATAGACGAGAACGAGGCCCTCAGAAGAGGGATGCACGAGATTCTGGACAGTATTCGTAGCCAAGACGGTGAATTTTCGATCATTTTAATGGTACTTTAACGATGCACCGTTTGTTTCCTTTTTTCACTACACCAATCTCTTTCTCTGAACTTACCTCTTTAATCCCACACATGAGCTATCAGGCACATGTATATTAATCACGTTTTAATCCTCCTGTAAAGGATTTTTCATCTTGCGTTGTTGCATGTGGAATTTTGGGCGGGTAATATTGATCGTTTGATACCTCAGGTAAAAGCGTAGTGGAAATACAATCTAGCACGTTAGAGAGGTTGTTAGAGGCGTTAGACGTGAGGCATTTAGCGGGCTGGTACCACCCTGTAATGAGATTGCAGGAGCATTTGAACGTTGTTCAAGGTAGCAACGCCGAATTGAGGGGTCAGCTTAAACAACTGAGGTATAACGGTTGAATAAAAATCTGGGAGACATACGTCTTCATCTTTGTTTAACGTCGCCTGCGAATATAAATAATTGTAGGAAGGAATTACAAAAGAAAGATAAAATACTGCACGCGTTAGCATTGAACAAACACGGTGACCTCGACAAAGTTTACACGGAGGAGTCCGACAGCGAGAAATTGAGCATGTATCTGTCCGAAATGAAAAATCTGCAAGAGGCGTACAAAAACGAGGCTGACGAATGGGAGAAGCAGAAGAACTCGTTGATAGAACGGAACGATGAGCTTAGCAACGAAATTGAGAAGTTGAAACTTCGACTGGAGGTTTATGAGCAGAGCGCGAGGATACTGGAGGAGGGCGAGGATGAAATTCGGAAAGCTTTTGTCGCCAAGACTAAGGAGTTCGTGGAAGCATCTGGCGAAGCTCTAATTGCAAATAGGAAAAATGTTGCGCTTCAGAAATTACTAGCCAAAGAAACTGCGAGGGCGTATCACGACCAAAAAGAGGCAATCAAGAATGAGAGTTATTTGAGAAAAGCGCTAGCCGATTCCAGCAAGCACAGCAACGTCCTTGAACGTGAGGTCTCAATATTACAAAGCAACCTGTTCAATTCCGTCAGCTCCAGTATTTATAACGAACTGAAGGAGAAGCACGAGGAGTTGAGCATACGATTCCGCGGTCTGTTAGAGAATAATCTGATATCTGGGAATGAGAACGAAATAGAAAGCTTGAAGAAAGAGTTGGAACTGGCGAGACGAGTGAAAGATCAGCTCGTGGAGCATTTACAGAAAGAGACTCGATTCGAAGACGACGGAGATGTAATGGGAAGATTAAAGGACGCTCAAGCGAGGGAACTTTTGGAGAAACAGCGAGCCGATCACGTGACTAGTTTGCATGAGATCTTGCAGGTGCAGCTGTCGAAATGCGAGGAGAGTCTCAAGGAAATCACTGCGGCGAAATCCGAGTTACAAGAAGAATTGATTATTCTACACAAGAGGCTTTCGAAAGACGTGCACTTCGAAAAATCGCCACAACTGCGTGATAACAAGTCGGAACAACTGAACGATAAGAACGCGATGCTTCAAACAGAAGTCGAGAATTTGAAAAAACAATTAGAAATCACTCAGGAGGAGGCTCAACGACATTATTCGTTGAACTCGTTGAAAACGTTGGAATTGGACGATTTGAGGCATCAGATATTAAATCTACAAGCAGTCAGCGAGGATAAAGCTACCATTTCAAGGCTAGACTTTGAGCTGGCTAGTAAAAATTTATCAGAAATGGAATTGAACGCACAGAAGCTGAGATTAGAGAATGAGGTCTCCTGTTTACAGGAGGAACTCGACAAGTCGAGAACAGCTTGCGAAGGATTGCGTACTTACGTCCAAGATTGCCGGAGACAATGTGAAAATCGTTGCAGGTGAAACTAATTTTTCGATAGGAATTCTTTCATAAATAGAAAAATAATTTATAAAATAGGTCTTTTTTGTAACAAAACTCGTTTTCATTTTGTCGAGACTTTTAATTTCGGTTCGTTTTCAGAATGTACGTAGATATAATAAGATTCTTTCAAAATCTGTATTCGGGTTCTACTTCGATTAGCGCTTTAGACAGAATAGTCTCGTTGTCGGTTAAATTGAAGAACGAGCGTCAGAACATCGATAGCGAAATGAAAAAAGCTAAAGAGTACTATGAAAGCACTAAACAGCAACAGGAATTGCTAAATAATCGTCTGCAGATCGTCGAAAGCTTAAAAGATATCCTGGAGCAACAGATAGGAAGTAGCAGCGTCGAAGACATCGTGCAACGTTTCTCGGAATATTCGCAGTATACTTTAAATGTACGTGTTCATAAGGAACCCTTATTAAACCCTAAATCGTACTTTTATCTGAATACTCATCCTCCAACTTAATCAGGATTTCAAGTACAAACGGAAGATAACGCAACTCGAGTACGAGTTGCAAATCGCTAATAACAAATTCATGGAATACGAGTCGGCTATAAATGAGATGGAACACGATATGATACAAATACAGAAGGCCTGGAGTAAAGGCGACCACCAGCAGCGAAGAATCGACACACGCAGCGCAGCGACGAGCCCCCCATTATTAGAAAACAAGCATGCACCTGTTCAAGCAACGATAGAAGTGAAATCAAAAGAAGTACAGACTGATCCGTACACTTGTTGTTTGGAAAAGAAAGAAACGAGCGAGGTGGAAGTTCAAACGATCTCTCCAAGGGAACCTGAAGATCTAAATAAGAAAACGAAGCAAAAGGACATGGCAGTAAAAGAAGAAGATACAGTTTACTCAAAGAAAGAGGTAGAGAATATAGGAAAGGCAGAAAGGGACGTGGATGAGAAGAGCGCCCGAGAAGTGTCACTGCTCCGGGATCAATTGAACGAAGCCATGAAACTCGCTTCTGAACGATCCTCGACGTTAATTAAATACGAGATGCAAATGGCAGAGAACCAGGCGAGAGTGGATTCCTTGAACAGGACTATAAAAAGCAAGGATTCAGAATTGACAGAGAAAGAGAAATTGCTCGAGGAGTACAAGCTCTCGTCGCAAGGTACCGACTGCGCTGATAAGCTTGCGTTGAAGTCGTCGATAAACAGTTTGCAGAAATTGCTAAATCAAAAGGAAGAAACCATAGCTCGGTATCAGAATTTATTGAAGGAAGACAGGGACGAGCATAGTAAAGCTGCAGCTCGTCTGCAGGAGGAGATAAGAAGCCTGCATGCTCGCGTTCAGTCTATGCAGAGGGAGACTCAAAGAACCGAGCAGAAACGCGATAACAAGAAAGAGGACAGATTGATCGTTAAATTGCAAGAAACCAGTTCAAGGGTCGAAGATGTAAGGAATAGCGCGATGCAAGTGGAGGAGGTTGCCAGGTTGGAGGAGAAAGTGTCCACTTTGGAGGCAGATTTGAATATTACGAAAGAATTGAGCGATCGGTGGCATCGATTAGCCGAGGAGCGACTCAATCACATGGATCGCATGAGGGAGCGGTAGGTTGCTGATTACAGAAGACGATTTAGCTGAACGGGGAAGAATCTCTTCTGCAGATTATTAAATCCGAAATGTGTTTTATCAGATTGGAGGAACAACATAAAAGTGAATTGGAAAGTTATCGTGGCGAATGCGCGAAATGGCAAACCGAGGCGGAAATGTTGCGCACACAGTTGTCTGAAAATCGAATGCTGGTTACGAAAGGGAATATGTCGTTGATGAAAGAGTTACAGGAGAAGGATGACAAGATTCATCAGCTCACTTTGGCTTATCAGCAGCTACAGGTATCGGTCGTGAGCATCGTCTAACCATCTTTGTAGGCACGGTTTAAACGCGAATCTTTCATTGTTTTGGGGCGAAGAACGAGGTTGAGTTAATTCAGTCCACAAATCGATCGCGAAACGCGATAACTCAAGGCGAAACCGAAATTACGAGTCGTGATCATACGCAGCGTGTAGATAGTGTCAGGAAGCAACTGCAATCGTTATTGGAAAAAGAGAAGATGTATAAGAATGAGATAACTGAGTTGAAGCAACAAATTAGTCGCAGGTATTTTAGTAGGAAAATATTAAACCCAACCGGAATACCACCATTTTTTTAATGGTTTTTGTTACAATTAATCTTGATTTGTATAAAAACATGAAATATATCCTAAAAATTTCTCTTCCCCTTTTATTACTCTATCTATTCGCGATAGATACACGGCTGTAAAGTCGCAAGAGAAAAGAGCATCGCAACGCGAGACTCAGCTCGAACGTAAAGTAAAGTCTCTCGAGGAGGAGTTAGAAAAAGCTCGAGCACAATTGGACAGAGAGTATTTAGCACACGAAGCCAAAAGGCTTAAGGTACATAAACGCGTTTCAAGTGACCAGCCAGAAATTCTTTAGTGATAATTAGTAAATTGCACAGACAGCGGAAGAACTCGCGTTGTGGGAGAAGCAAAAGAAGTGGCAACAGATGGCTGAAAGATTCAAGGAGAAGCTGAAAGAGAAGACGGATGAGTACACGAAACTGCAAGCCAGCCACGAAAAACTTCGCTCCGTCGTTTCGTGCATGGAAAGAGAGAAATGGTATTTGAAGAGCAAATTAAAGTTGGAGAACACAATGGCTGGGAGCTTGTCAGCCAGACCTGTACAGCAGAACGTGATGGAGGAGCTTCAGAAAGAGTGTCAGATTCTGCGCGAACGGATCAAAGAGTTGTCTGATCGTTTAGAGAACGAGGACAATGAGAAGCTTTTGCTTAAGGTCGAGGAGCAAAAGAGGCGTATCGCTGCTTTAGAAATCGTTTCTCAGGTCCGCTTTTTGATCTGCCTAGCTGCCTGACTCGTTTAATCGTTTCCTACGTTTACCGTCTATTTGTAGGGTAACAGCTACGTTGTTAGTCAACTGGAGAAATTAGAAATGACCAAAGATATTCTAGAGAAAATGAATTTAGCGCTGGAAGCCGAGAACTTCGAGCTACGACTCGAATTAGAAAAAGCGAATGGTGACGCACCTAGGTTGCGAGAGAAGGTGGAACATTTAGAAAAGTATGTTTCTTTTCATCTGTTGCGTGTTTAGTTTTTTTTGTAAGAGATGAAATATGAGTGATATTCAATCGCTGTTTGTCGTTTATTATGTTACGTACAGATATATAAAAATATTAAAAGAAGAAAAGTCGTCAGATTGCTCTCCGATGTCATCGGATAAAGAGTCGCGCGAAAACGGTTCAAAAAAGACTACCATGGAAATGGAGAAAACAATTTTCACTTTGAAAAGAATTATCGAGAAGCTACAGGTGGAGAATAAACGTCTTAAGCTTGACTCAAAAAAGAGCTTCGCGCGTCAGGCACGTTATAATTAAATTCTTCAATTTGATAGATGTTCAACTATTATTCACTAACAGTACCTCATCAATTTTACGCGTAGGGTGTACTGTCAGGTAGAGAAAATGATAGCGCGTTACAAAGACAGTACGAGGACGCTCAGAAGCGAATCGTGGCGTTAGAAACCGATTTGCAATTAGCTGAGCAACGGGTAACCGCGTTAGAAAAGGTTCAAAAGGAGGACGATAACGCGGAGATAAAGGTTTTGAGGGAGCAATTGAGCCACAAGTCCGAACTCCTGGACAAAGTGAAACATTTATTATCGAGAGCAGCCATAAACGAGAAAAGTCTTCGACAACGTGTAAATATATTTTTTAAGGGTATATAATTATGCGATTGAATAGTACATAATACGACGATGCTTAAATAATTTTCAGGTACAACAACTAGAGTCCAAGCAGACATTGTCTACGATACCAGAATGCCACGTGACGCCTCCCAGCCTGGAGTAGACATCGCCTGGTGAGTACAGTAATTGTTATAATGATACGCTTCATTCAATGTGGTAAAACAATTTGGTATCCTTCGCTTTCGGTTTTTTATATGCCTGAAGCTTGTTTAAATATTTTAATATCTTATTTGAATATCGTTCGTACTATTATGAATTATTCTTCATATTACTTATGACTATTCTGAACATCGATAATGACTTACAACTAAACGGACTACATGCGTAATACTCATAAGTACGAGATCAAATCGTTCCATTAGTCACAAATTATAAATATATCCCTGAGACCAAAGATCGGTTATTAAAGGAAAAAATACATGAAAAATACGTCATACTCGGCTACGTTTGTACATAAATTACGCGAGCGATCTATCATCGAGTTTTTCTTCGTCAGTTTGTTTTGGCACGTGTCTCGTATACTCGGCGCGAATAAATATTAAATAGCGAGGAACTCTGTCGATTCGGATCTAATAGTCGTTTTCGAGGGCCTGGAGGAACGGTTGAATGGAACCCTCATCCTCGCAGTCCGGGATGAGCTTTCCTTTGTATTTGACGCAGGAGTCGGCGCACTTCTGGCCTAGGAAATAGGGCCCGAACATTTTTTTGCACTGGGCACAATTTCTGATACACACCCCTGAAAATTTAATTAGGGACAAATTCAATATCGATATTATTAAAAAATCGGTGATTCAAATATTTATAAATCGAAGTTAAGTGAAATGAACTTACCAACGGCTCGATCAAAGGGAGCGCTTCCTGCGACGAGCATTACAACCATAACATAGGCCACGAAGAGCACCAACAAAATACGGGTTGACTTATTCATGGCTGAAACGAGTATGAAAACACATTAATTTATTCCATATTATCATATTATTGTCATATTACATCCACGATTCTTAAATATAAAAATTCTACTATTGATTCTCTACCTCAACATAACAAGTTTCACTTGGATCATTACATTATTAATTACGATGCAAGAGAATAAAGAAACAAACAGGATCTCGTTAAAAGAAAGATAGCAATACTGGATATCGTACAATTCATCAGTTCTTTTACTCCTGCGCGGGGGATTAATAATCAAGAAAATGGAAAAAAGAATTGGAATCCAATAGAACGGCAGTCCTGGTGAAGGTGGAACTAACAGGATGCAGGCATGGAAATACCCTAACTAGCCTCTGGCGTCAGGATGCAATAGTTCAAAGCCTCTATACCGTATCCACTTTCCTATTAATTACCGGTCTCGATAACGAAGATTGGAAAGGAGACGGTGAACGACGTTCATGAACTTTCGGGTTACCTTGGAGTCAACAATTCACAAACAATATTTCTCATCGACGCGTATTTTACCAAGACTCATTGATGTTCAGTGCACAACTATTAACGAAACAATGGAGTTAATGAAAGAATCCAGATAACTGGCCAAAGCACATCTCCTACGATCGTTAAATATGAGGGATCGCGAGTGTTTCCAATAAACTCGAATCATCTTTCCCGTTTCGCGCGCTGACGTTTCGTCGCCCTCGGGCGATCCGCTACGTCGGTGGTCATCTTTTTTTTTCCCGGCTTGTTTTTTCTTCCTTTCGTTATTCATACTGTCATTTATAACCGGAATCTCGCGCTTCCGCGTTCGCCTTAACGGTCGCATTGTGAACGCGTAAATATAATAAATATTGATGGTAGGTGTCTCGTTTATCTGACCACGCGTCGGCGCCGTCCCTTTCTCCCGTCTCTCTCAAGGAAGCACGCGAAGATTCAAGACCAAGGATCGTGGAAACGCGGATCAATTGACTGCGGATGTGTCTCGGGTTCGGTGAACACCGATTGGACCGGGATCGGCTGGTCGGGTAGAGGACGGCCACGTGACCGGCACGAAAAGCGTTTTCTCTCTATGTATCGTACACGTATTTACCTGGTTGCTGTCGCTTGGATCGAGCCGAGGCTGCTGGAAATGATAAAACCAGACGAATGACACTGAGCACTGTACGATGACGGCCTTATATATCCGTTGAGGCCAGATTCATCCCTCGGTCGAGGGAAACCCCGCTGCCTATCTTACCTTAATTCGATTTCTTCGATTTCCTGCACTCTCTCAGAATTCCGCTCAGGAATAGCGCGGAAATTTCGATCGACCGATAGACAGACAGCTACTAGATTGGTTAAAGAGGACCTATCTCGTCTCTCTTAGAATCCAGACACGTGCAATAGTCACAGATAAAAACTGTATACAAGTACCAAAAGTTTCTGTCAACTTCCGTTTTATTATAACATTCATCGTACAACAACTAATGAGTATCCAGAGTTCAATTTATAGAACAGTTCTTAAGATTAATATAACGTTTTCGTTTATGTCTGTCGAATCGCTATTTCCTCCTTTCTTGCGCCTCCATGTCAACTCTTCTGCTTGGGGATTTATATTCTAAGGACCAGAGGTTTCTATAATCCGCGGGCATGTCTCCGGCTCCGATCCTTCGTGTGTCCTCGTCCAGACGCGAAACGCGGCTTTTCTTGTTCAAGACCGCGGACAATGGTTTGTACACGTCGCCTTTGCTCTCGGCGTTCTTCCTCCTCCGATCTCGTTGCACATCGTCCTTTAAATTTCTAATAACGTCGTCCGTGAAATATCGCGATCGAAATTCGTTTTCAAACGAGCCACCGCCCTTTCTTTTGGACACGAATCTCAGGAAATCCTCGTCACTGTCCTCCTCCTCGTCTTCTTCATTTTCTGGATGTAATTTATCTACCGCGAACACGTCGGTGAAATCGGTGGATCGATGATATTTTGGTAGATCATCGAAAGTATCCTGCGCCTTCGCTCGTTCTCTGAACGCATTATCACTTTCGGGCTCGTTAAAGCCGGCTGAAACTCGTTTCCCGTTCTTTCCGTACTTGGTCCGCGTCTCCTTTTCGAGCGGCTTCAACTTTTTCATTATCGGATCGTCCTTAAGAAATTCGTCTAGATCGAACGGCTTCCTGTACTCGTTTATGTCGAATATTATGGGTCCCGACTGGATTTTAGAATCTCCCTGCCCGTCTGTCTCCTCGGAATCTTCCTCACTTCCTACCTGCGAATTCTCTGTCGACTCGTCAAGGTCGGAATTATTTAATTTGCTCGACATTTCGCTATTTTCAAGTTCGCCGTGTATGGAAGGTTTAGACTCCTTGACGTTCGATTTAGAGTTTATATTCGATTTATTTCGCGATCTTTCGTTGTCCGAGGATTTGAATTCTTTCGAATCTGTTGGATCGACGAATTCGACGTCACCTTGCGTTTTCTTTTTGCTTGCCTCGCGATCACGCTCGTCCAAACTCTCCTCTCTAATGTCAGAATAATCCGGTACTTCGACGTATGGGATTTTGTTCGGATCATAATCTGAAATATCCGAGGACGTCGTGTTCTCGACATTTTTCTGATGATCCTGTATATTAATGTAACTTTCATTCCTACGCTGCTGAACCGAGCTCTGCGCTTTATCCTTGCTTTCATCACGATTTGCCGAACCTTTCCGGATATTTCCACTCGAATTTCGAGTATCATCGCAGTTGGGAAAAACAGGTTTGTAATTATGTTTGCTGGATTTTTTCGAATTAACAGGATTGTTTGTAGTAAAATTCAGGTTCGTGCTTTCGGCGCGGAGCGTCGCGTTTAATTGGCTTAGCTGTTCCTCGTAAGTGAGTTTCGGATGACGATAGAATTTCCGTTCCCCGAAGAGTGCGTAATTCGATTTTTTGTCCACAGACCGCTTCTCACGTTTCCGGTGATTATTTAATGCGCGAAGGATCGAATCCTGGTTCAGGTCTTTCCTATCAACTTTTTTATACAATTTTTTGTGTATATTTGTTCTTTTATTAATCGTTGGTACCGCGTCGTCCTTTCTCTGTTCCTTTTTATTTTTCGTGAGAACGAATTCGGGGCTCCGGGAGTTCGCAGCAGCGTTCTGAAAATTTCGAGCCACGGTTACCCTAACTCTCGACTCCTTTAAGATAGCATCGACGCGAAGCTGAGGTACACGTGCGGCATTAAGGGAAACGTTTCGCGCCGCGAGATTCATAGGCAATTTTCAGTGAACATTGTGGCTTCGATTCGGCGCGGAAGAAACGTACCGCGTGTCTATGCAGCCGCCGCTTTTAACTACCTTGTAAATCATTCCCCCGGACGCGGTAGTAAATTCAACGTGCTCGCGGCGTAACTCGCGGTGAAATATTTACCGCGGCATCGAGACAACGCCGAACCCGCGGAGGCAACGCGCCGTTTTTCTTCCCGTCCGTTCGAATCACTCGATCATCGTGAAATAAAATGAGACAGGAGAATTCACAAGACTGACGAAGGTTCCATAAATGGCACTCTCGTTAATGTGACTTTATTCGTTTACGAATACTTATATATACAAAATACAAATTACAAACTGAGATACTGCGTGGGCGTACAGTGGCTCAGACGATGCTGTCCTTTTCTGTCCTGTCACGTGCAGTCTCCGATCGTCGAGCACGCTCCCTGAGCCATCGTGCACGCGTGTATGTACATGATAATGAAATGATACAATAATACTCGAAGCGAACTAATATATTAAATGTTGTTTCACATCGTGTGCGTCTTGTGTAGAGAATAAAATTAAGAGATAATATAATAAATGGGTAAGGGGTGTGCGGTACGCCTACAACGACGATAGAAAAAATTGCAATAATCACGTGAGGGAAGTCACGCGGATATAAATTACTACGTGTGATGTATGTAACCGAGTTCCTTAAAAGGGTCGATGCTTTATTAAAAATAATGTTTCACCTCAGAGACAAAATTATTGTAACGTCCATGTACAGAATTGCTGATCATCTGTGTGTTTCTGTGATACTTGGGGAAAAAGAGTGAAGATGTATTTTGTTTCTGACGATTCGTTAGGTTGATTTGAGTACAATTGATAAGTGTTAGGAATCCCTCGTGCATCTCCGTCCGTATTACTTTCTGAACTCCAGAAACGAAGCGATGCCGTTAATGCTCTCAAAGAAGAGCCGCAGAACCTGCTGCCTGTTGTACTGGTTCCGCGCCTTTCCCGGTCTCGGCGGCCGCCTCGGTACATCAAGCAAGTGCTCCTCCACCAATCGCTATAGTACAATAGGTTTACATTTGTAGGTGCTCGTGCATCGTACAATCCTTTCGTATTGCAGGATCTTCATTGCGTTCACAAACACGGTTTCTTTCGACTAAGGGAAAATTGTCTATTGTGGCTACTTGGATTTGTTTAAAAAAATGTACATGTCGCGATCGAGGGGAGGACTAGACGATGAACATTGCTAGAAACTACCCAGTTCGTGTAATTTTATAGAGAGAACTTTCGCCTAAGTGGTATTATATACATGATGCATTAACTATGAAGAATAAATTAATAGCTTGAAGTAGAGAAAGCAGCGATAAACGAGTTTGAATTTTGTATCCTAAAAGAAAAATGACTACCCATCACTATAATAAGATTTAGAGTATTCGACAGGTATGCGGACTTAACTTGGCGTAGTCTACTTTTCTATTATTAGGTAACTGAAACGCTGAGCAAGGGGCTTGCTCGGTTCAGGTCGTCTCTGACCCGTACGATTCGTGTCACGGCTAAATGCTCTGTCCAAAGCGATTATTAAAAAGCGTGGAGGTGTTGGTGGTGGTGGTGGTCGTCGTCGTACGTGGAAACGCGTTACACAATTTCTACGTCTTGAGATCTCCCGCGCTGCGATATAATTATTGGCAAGTACACGCGAAGTTCTATGATCGTATCTGTTATTAAAGACATCCTCCAAGTTCTCGGACACGATACGTTAACGAGACTTCGATTAAATCTGAACGTCACTTCTTCTTCTTAAAATTAACTTCATACATATTTATGTATGTACGTACGTATAAAAAAGGAATACGCAAGAGGCCGTAATTTATAGTTGCGTTCGAACGTATAAATTACGATTCTAGCTTGAATAAATTAAACGTCTCTACTGTAGGGTATTCGTCTAATTAATTAAGGCCGCTAGCGGTGTCTATTCGGATGCTAGGACTGTTATTACGTACACGTCTGCCTTCGTGTCCCTAAGCTGATCCGTAATGCAACGTGCAGACGCCTCTACGGTTCGCTGTGTACGTATTTATGTGTATTCTACGGTATACCGTGAATGTGTCTCAGTTAAACGGGGGTAGGGGGTTGGCTAAGAGGATCGTGCTTCTTGGCTCGTGTCTGTTCTCGTTCGCTACGTGGTGGTGTTCGTCTACAGGCGGTAGGTCTCTATAACTTTTGTGTCTAGAAAACAGCCTCTTTACTTTCCGTATGATTGGTACTGGTCCTCTAGATTACTCACGTATTGCGCGTGATTCACGGGTGGGAATTCCGCCCATTTGGTCAGATCCATGCTTGGCAATATGCCGCTTCTGCAGGGCACTCGTGGGTTTCTGAGAGGCGAATAATCAATCATGTTATTTCGAAAGTTATATAATATGAAATTGCAAGAATATTGAGAAATTAATAATTATCTCTTACATCTCGTGATCCGGCAATACCATCGGGTATATCTGTATCGTGTCGATCAGGTCTGTGTTGTCACAAATTACTCTGGCGAGCTTCACTTTTCGTATCTCATTCAATTGATCTAAACATAAAAGATCACTTCGTTATTTCACATTCTATCAGAGGAGTTGACGACTTCTGTGTTCGACAGCCGATCGAATGGCTTCTCACCGAGAGTGAAGGACGACGGTTGGTTCGGCAGTTCGTACCAAAATCGGTCACCACGACGCGAATAACTGAACTGCGTTGCGATCACACAGGCGAACGTTGGCCCGAGCATGCTACCCGGAAGCGGTCTCTCGGACACGCCGCCGGACCACAGATCCACGTCCGCTGGGTGTCTGCAAAATCATTCATTATTTCCGGGAATTCAAACGCGATTTCTCGAAACGACCATGTCACGCGTTTTGCAAATGATTCATAGCCCGGTCTAAAATTAGCGTTTTCAATTATTCATGAGGTCGTGTCACCTGTTTCATTAAAATATCTGAACAGATCGTTGAGACGTTCTCTTATTTATGTATACGTCGAGTTGGAATTTTTGTTGTCTATATTACTTCGTTAGTTCATTCAGGGCGTTGTGAATACTCACTCGAAGATTGAACTGTAGCGTCTGATAGTCTCGTTTGGCATGGATCCAAACAGTTCGTCGAATGTGTCCGCCCAGGGTAGTCCGCAGAATTTTCTGTATATTAAATTGAGTTATTGATAAGCTCGAGCTATCTTCACTCTGTATTACTTCAAACTATGTAAATTTTTCAAAAGAACCAACCTGAATTCCATGTAACTTGGAATACCAAATTCGCGACCTCGTTGCATGTTAAACGAGACCAGATCCAAACCAAATTTGGCTCCAGCCTTCTTGAATAAATGATTCGTCACCTGGAAAAAGAAACATCAATAAATTATATTTATTTTATGTATTATAAAAATTGTATTAGGAAAAGATGGTACCTCTTGCGTGATGGAATCGTCCATAGCTTGGGCCACCTGGTTCATCAGTCCCATGATGTACTCGTCAAAAACGCCGGCACGATACAAGTCAAACGGTCTTCTAATCAAATCTGATAACCTCTTCGAAGCTTCAAACGAATTAATTAAATTAGAACATTTTCTCTTCTGTCTTTAATTTCAATTCTATTCTGATTTACCAATGAATTTGTGAGCTTTGCTCCATCTCTCAACTGCCGTCGGTAGCAGCGAATGTCCGAACCTGAAGGCTGCAGCAGCGAACGCGTCGATCACTGATGGGCTCACGCTGCTATCGTACCCGTCCCAGTATACCTGCACAAATTCATTATCCCATAAATCCTGCTCTCGTCGAGAAGCAGTAATTCAAGCTTACATTCTTTTCGAGTAGGAGTCCAAACTTCTGCATGACATCTTTACCAAGCAGAATGGGTAGGAATTCGTTGTAGGTAATGTGTTGAATCAAAGCGATCACTATTCTCCTCGCTTCTTGATAAAGCGTCTCGTCGTCCCAATGAGGATTGATTTGTATCAGTTGTTTCGCGATTCGATTATGTTCACGTGCCATCAAAGTGTGCATGCAGGTCAATACTAATTGCTCGTTCACTCTTATTTCACCTGTAGACAAAAAGTAAGAATCCTGAGGAAACGAGTAATTTAATTCTAGAGTCAGTAAATGTCGTAAAGATTAGATTCTATTTTTCCAGTTCAGTTGTTTCATTGACTTTAATCGTGGAGGCAAGTAGCAAAGTCGTAAGATTGACCAGGCATGAAAGTTAAAACTTCATAACGTTCAGTTTATATAATAGGAATTATTAAGCTTCTTATATAATAGGTAGTACAACATTCTTAGCACTATTTCGAGAGTAAACGAACGCAAGAAGTGGTCTCTTAAAAGGAATGCGATACGGTTTAACGCAACAATCGTGTAAGTGCATCGAACGCCGATTTTTCATCGATTATTACGACAACTTCAGTCGTCGACCTTGAATCCGAGCCACTCCCTTTCTCGTTTAATCCACGCCAATAATAATCGTTCGATCGCATGACGACTATCGGCTCGGCAACGCAGAATGCGACCGTTTCACACGAATTTCGACACCGACCGTCGCGTTATAGATGCCATGATACCCATTATCACTTTAGCCAGCAGCAACCCGTGGCCTCGTTTCCTTCCTAATTAATCAATCATGCAATTTTGCCAGTCATCAATTTTTCTTATAATGTTTTTGCATCAAAGTTTATATTCTGGTTCGTGAAAATATTTCGGATAAATATTGTTTTTTATTCATTTTAGTTTAATTTTAATTAAAATATTAAAATACATTATGAAACGTGAAAAATTATATAGTGAAAAAATTGTATTTTCTAATTAATTATTAATAGAATAATACTATTTCTATAAAATCACGTTTCATGAAAGAATGTCTGAAAAAGTGTCTCAATCTGTAATCACATTTCTTTACATGCATTCTAATAAAATTCTCTGATTTTCTTGTAATTTTTTATTCTTCATCTGAAATAACTAATCTCGGCTAATAGCAAGTTAATGTACCAACGCGTTCCGGTGGAATTGTTTTGTCTCGTGCATAAGATTGCCACGTAGCCAGAATAACCGCGATTTTCTGACTGGTCGAGAGCAACGTGGGAAAACTATTTCTCAGGCTAGTGAACGCGCCAGGGGTGCGATAAAATCGTACACGGTGACCAGTTTTATCTTCCCGTTGCTTTACAATGCCGCCGTTTCAATTCCAAGATGAGAATAGATTAGATCCTTTATTTGTACTTCTGATTGAGTCGTATGCATTCCCGTTGTCTAAATACAAATTACAGACGATTTTTCAACACCTGTTTCGTGTTCAATCGCGTGACTTACATTAATCGAATCAAAGGAATTCATGAAATTAAATGATGCAATTTTATAGAGCGAACACGAGCAAATGTTGGTATGAAAAATAGCTTTCCTACTTTTTAAAAATACTGACTCAGGAATTGCGATTATTAATACTTTTGTGAATAGCATAACTCATTATACTGCGCATTTAGAAAAGTTGCGAATTTATAATCGAACGTTAGATTGAATTTAAAAGACTCACCAGCCTCGAAACAGTACATTGATCGATTTGGTCGCGTGCAACCCTCGTCCGGAATATCCAGTTTGAGCGGCAATAAATCCTTCAAGCCATACTCGGAGAACACCGGATTCATGCGTAACAAGCCACCGTAACCAGAACGCAGCTTTCTGCAAATATAAACGAAATTATCCCATGAGTATCCGAAATGAATAAAATGCGACAGAAGTGAAGTGGGTGTGAGAAGACTCGGATCTACTCTGTTCGTTCTAGAAGAACCCACGATCCCGATTGAGCAATCGTGGATCTCATAATGCGAATAGACCAGAAAGTGCGAACAGTGCATGTTAGAAGATATACGTTAGGAAATACGTTAGAAGGAACATAAAGTTGATTTATTATCCCCCTTACGTGACGAGCCGATATGTATAGTACAACTATCAAACGTTTACTATAAAATTTTCTGTTCTGTTCAATCATTTGCAATCTATCATTATACTTCCTCAAATATATTTTATCCTGCTGAGTTAGAGTGAGCAAAACAAATTAACAGATTATATTTATGCTAAATTTCAAAATGCGTTTTGGATACCAGGTTTTTTTACCATTTAAACATTACAATACACTGTGTGCAGTCTTCACATTTAATTATTTTATCAAAACACGTGCGATTATTCAAATTCATATGAAAATGACCAAAATAGAAGAAGCGTTTACTTAGCAAAGGATTCCGTGATTCCGTAAACCGTATTCCCATCGAGAACGCCGGTCAAAAGGTTGAAGGGGACACGGGAACCGAGCCTGCATCCAGGTCGGACCGCGGGAAACGCGCGAACGAAGTCTAAGCATTTCACGTTGAACAGTCTGTAGAAGTAATCGTCTTCCGGTATCGGGATCTCGTTGCAGTAGGGATTCTTCAGGTGCGGTGGCCGATGGCAGCATTCCTCCGGGTCGTTCCGGTTCAGGGGGTCTGCAAAGGGAGAGTAATCGATCATGCAATGCCGTGGTTGCTCGCTGTCTTGATATAGTGTTATGCATTTAGCGAGGTCTTAGGCGTAGATTAAATGACCGACGATCAGTTTGGATGTTGGTTCTTCATGCGATTACGCAACGCTTGCCCTTAAATAGGAACAATGGCAAAGCATTGAAATTTTAACAGTTCGACATTAACAGATTGACGCTGACGAAAATTTTTTTCTTTCAAAATTGCGAAAAATGCTTCAAATAACAGTTGTTTTCCTTCTAACTTCGATATTTAACGAATTACGTATGATTATTTGGCATTTTATTGATGTTGACAAAATCTGACCATCCCATCGTCGAAACGGCGAACTTTTGGAAAAAAATTTCGTTTTTTGCCCATAACTCCCGAAAGGATGGACGTATGGGGGCATGTGTGGGACCATTTTGTAGGGGACGACGAGATCTACAATTTCCATGTAAAAATATTTCGCTAGCATCAATATTTAACGAGTTATTGACGAAAAACGAAAAAATAGTTTTTTGCAAATTACTCGTTAACTATTGACGCTAGCGAAATATTTTTACATGGAAATTGTAGATCTCGTCGTCCTCTACAAAAAAGGTCTAATGCAATTTTCCCGTATCTCCAACGGTTTAGAAGTTATTGGCAAAAAACGAAAATTTCTCAAAATCTGAAGGGGTACCCCTTGGAAAAATCTCGGAAAAATCGAAAATTTTTTGTTGTTGTTTATTATTTGCAATTTTCTTCCGGCGTCTGATTTCTTTTTAAAAAATGCGTTTCGAAAGTGCATAAATTTGTGGGATTGACTGTATAGTCAATACATACTTAATACAATCACATAACTCGTATTTTCTAATCCCGATTAAGTTTGCTTTGTTCTCCATTAGTTCATTGAAAAATAGTTTCAGCCCTAAAAGAAACGGAGGATCTCGTAACATGCGATGTTAGATCTGATTCCATTCCTTTCATTTTCGATGTAATCAAGAACCTAATTTTATAATAACGCATTAAAGAGTGAAACGCGTAGTAATAAATCATAAAAATCGTTGCCGGTAAATTTTTTGCTTAACTATCTTCAGGGTTTATCGAAACGCGATCTCTGATTTCGTAGCAGCCAATTAATTGGCCTGCAGCACGGCGATCTCCCATGCCTACCGCTAATTACCAGGTAGCTGCGGGACAGCCGCGCGTGGACGCGTGCGATTTTGGCGTGGATCGCTGACGGCTCGTGGAAACCTCACGAGCGGTCACATGATCGGCGGGCCCACCGCTTATCCGGGCACCGATCGGTCGCTTTCTCCGGCGGTTACCCTAGTTTCGATAGACTGTAAATATCCGACGTAGAAGGGCTTGGGAGGCGAACGCAACGCTATACGAACGTCCCGACGCGACACACCGTGACGCAATTCGACCAATTGCGTAATTTGCTATTGACACGAAATTGGGGCTACTTTCTCTGTTTTTCTCCCGCGAATTCTCGGTTACCGAGGCCGCAGGCTTCCCGACCCTCGTTAACCCTTTGAAATCGTAACTGACGGCAATGAGAAACGACGCTCGTTTATCTGAAGCTTATCCACTATTGCCAAATGCTGACTATTCGAAGATCGAAAGATTATCACGCGCCAGGTGATCTAAAGCTTTTGCGTAACACACAAGATCGATCTACCCTCCGTCGGAGCTATCAACAATTCTACGATATGGTCGCGCGAACAATTATCGGGTCTGAGATCGTACCTAGAGGCGTTGCAGTCAGCGTATAGTCGTGATCCATAAACTGTCCCCAGGCGATGACCATGACTGTGCCGGCGTGATCATGATAACCCTCGTCAGGATGCATGGTGCGTGACACCACGCGTGATAATGGTAAATCACGGCCAGTCACCGATATCCTGGGCGCTGTTAAACCGTCCGCGAATCGTGGATTCATCAATCTAACGTGGCAGACGAAAATTTGTCATACCGGGAAATTGACAAATCACGTTTGCTCCGGTTTTATTAATTATTATAAATGGTTGTACCTTTGGAACGGCGCAAGGGCGGAGCCCCACGTTGGGTTCTCCAAGTTCGTGCACAGCCCGTCGTTTCTTCTGTACTTGCCGGCCCGACACTCGACGTTGCTTAAAAATGCTGGACACACGTCACTGATTAACGTTTTTGATGTGTCGATCAAGGGTAGACTCTTCTCGATCTCCTCCGGTGTCAATCCGTACCTGTGATAATCAGTTCTTATCGTAATTATGACTACAGGTGTTACACATTCCTCAGATTAATTTTAAAAGAATGATGAGATAAGGGAAATATTTGAAATTAGTATTGGCATTCGACAAATTTGCATTCTAATGACGAAGTTTCTCAATAATATAGATAAGAAACGAGTCGGTTACGTGTGAGCGAGGTTGGCAGAGATATCCAACAGGAGTTCGCCGACCGTGGCCAGGTCCTCCGGCCGCCACATTTTGTTCTTGGGTTGCGCCACATCTGACAAAACGGTTCAGTTATGCAATTAACATTTGCCAGTAATCATTCGTACTTCTCTACGTGTAACACTCACTGATGCGTTTCCTCGCCTCGACGTAGGCGCGATTCACGGCGTCGTAAGTGATGCACGTCTGCGATCCGGCCGACGGTGGGCTGAAAGATGAGGAAACGTGAAGTCGAACACGTGCCTACGATAGGTACATACGCCGCGGTAGCACAGCATCCTTTCTCTCCTCGCACCTCTCGCTTTCCACCGGCGTTCTTTACGATTTAATTACCTAACGTTTTAGCCTAGTTTCCAGCGAGAGTCAGGTATTTTGTATCAAGGTAACCCGAAACGAGCACCGTCTACCGCGTGAATTCGCATATCCTGTTTCCCGCTACGAAATATGACGGCATTGACGTGCCGCGAGCAGGCTTTTATCTTCGAAGGTCTCTCCCTGTCTTCAAACCGAGGCACGCCCTTCCTTGTGCTTTCTCAACTTGACGAATCGGTTAGACAGTCCAATCAGATTATAGTCAGAAGTATAAAGAATGAGTCAGTAAAAAATGTTATTTAGTCATCGATTTCATAATGAAAAATACATTTGCCAAAACTTTGCCAAGGATAGATCATTTAATTCATTTGCATCATTCGGAGAAGTGGAAAATCGGCTTATGATGCGAAAGGGTTAATGGTCGTCATACAATATAATACACTCCCTATTGACTCACTAATAAATAAGTTGAAGTGCGAAAATTGAACTTCTCAGTGGATCTCCAACGTTGGAACTTGTAAATTGCCTTGAAACTCGTTACCTCGCAAACTGCCCTGTCACAATCGTTATTAAATAACGCGTGTTGAAAGTATTTGTGGGAATGCACCGGAGGGTCGTTCTGAATTTAATTGCGACATAGTGCATTCCCGTGCAATTTCCCGTTCTAATAACCAGCATATTGTCGCGTTTAATAAATCATACGCACGCGTCAATTACCCTAAACTCGGCGGCAGAGCGCGCATTAGAAGCATATTAGAAGATACGGCTAAATAATCATTAGGAAACATAGTTAGGTAAGTAGGTTAAAGCGTAATTCTTCCTCGTGCAATCACGCGGTCCGTATGTATAGAGAATCGTGTCAAAAACAATCTTTAACCACCCGGTTTGGCGTTGAGATCGTAAAAGGAAAAGTCGCATTTAAAACGTGTTCCATGGCTCAAACTCCGTTTCTCATGCAATGGAATCGGCCGAGAGCGATTTTAAATTAGGTAGAAAGTTGCGCCTTTAATTCGGATTTGTCATATACATGCGTGCGTTACATAAACTGCCTCGAACGATATCCAATTCTCTTTTATTAAATCACTTTTAATATCGAAACATGAGATATTCAAACTACGGAAAAATACTTAGGCACGTTTAATAAAATAAATACATAAATTAGTGCAGTTATTTATCAGCATAATATGATATTGCAATGAATATTTAACCCATTCGCTGCCAAGCCTAAATTATATGAAGTCATTCCTATTGCCATTTATATTTTGAGTGCTATTGTTTACCAAAACCCTGTTATTTCTTGGTAAGAGCACATATATTATCATACATAATCATTTAGAAGCAGAAAACCAAAGACGAGTATACTCGTCGTTGGCAATGGGCCTTCAAAAGAGCCTGCATGTTATAATATATTTAAAGCAGGACGAGTATACTCGTCCTGGCAATGCGTGACACCCTGCCAAAGACGAGTATACTCGTCCTTGGCAGCGAATGGGTTAAAGTCGTAATTTCAAATAATGTTGATCATAATACATAGCTATAATTGCTAGGCAG